GTGTTGCTAAGCTGAAAGCGCTTCCCTGCAATGTCTGAAAATCAACATAACCAGCTTCCCATCAACATTACTTGTATGAGAGTACAGCTCCTGCCCTTTTAAGTACTTCTATGCACTTGTAGAGGTAAAGTTCGCCATCGTCTTTTCTTGGACATAACCTGAAAATTTAGGTTTCAGCAGTCAGCAACAGCCATTCATGGAGAAGAGACGGTAAAATGGCGATCACTAAAATCAATGTAATCTTATAATATGATAAGGATCAACTTTTCACATATGCGCACACAAACACACGCAAAAAGAAAAAAAAATTATGACATGAAGGTCCACAAAAACTCTTCAATGACCCATTCTTTCTCCAGACTCTCATTATTTATCCATGCTACCATCAAACCATACCCTTGCCTCATTCTAATTTTCAGCAAAAAGCAATATTAAGCAACACCTACGCAGCTACACTTCTTTCTCCAGCCTCTCATCATCTATCATCAAACCACTCCTTTGTAATATTTTAATTTGCAACAAAGCACTTATAAGCAAGACCTACAATGCTACACCAGAAGAGCTAATTACAATTTACAATCCTAGCAACTGGACAAAAGCCAGCAACATAAATGCAGCCAGCTGGCTAAGTATGCCACAGACGAATATCATTTAAGATATTACTAGATACTAGTTAACAGAAGAAACAAGGGTAAGCAAAATAAAATAGTAAATAATAATGTATGCCACATATTTATTGGTAACAATATAGTCAATTCAGAGAGAAAAGAATGCAAATTCTGACAATTCACCTTAGATAGTGGAGGCAGCATTCCAGCCTGGCACTCGGCCTTTCCAGGCTCAGTTAACTGCCGAATCTCTCGAAGCTGGCTTGCTATATCTTCCAAAAGTTGCAGCTGAATTCTTTCCCTTTCTCTGTGCCCCACTGAGAAGTTGAGCTTCTCTCTTCCCTCTTGCACAATCCTTAACCTTTCTCTAAGCCGCTCGACTTCATTATCAATTTTAAATCTTTCATAATCAATTGCAGACATGGAATTTCTCCTCATATCAGAAGGTAAAGATCTGCCTCGAGGGCAACCCATTGTTAGCAATACACTAGCCGTGTCTGAACTAACTCTCTGGATTTTACGCTGAGTTTTCAACCCAGTTGTAGTTGGAATATCGCGTTTTCCAGAAATGTCTAAGGTAGCATTCGCTGGTAGCTGTTCACTTTTCTCAGCACTCATTTCATTACACAGATGAGACTTGTCATCAATAACGTGAACATCGAAAACACCAGCCTGTGTGTTAAACACTGTGCTATGTGGATCTTTGCTTCCCTCATCCTGGTTGTTCCAATGCTTGTCTATCTTATCATTATTGTACGGAATAGAAGTCCTATTTTCAGTACCAATCCCAGATGTCTTTGAAGCCAACCCTTCACATATATTAGTGCTACCAGCTAAATTGAATTCCTGCTCAATGGGAGGTACAATATTTTTATGCAAACCAAGTCCCTGGGGATCAGGTGACTGGCTGTGTTTTCGATATACCTCTAGTCTCTGGACATATTTTCCTTGAGAAACTGGTTTCTCATCCATAGACACCACTTCTTTTTCTTGAAACTCGTGACTGATATCATCAGTACTATCTAAGAAACGTGGATGGCTGTCAATGCTTGGATGCAAATGCATGTCAACCTGCTTCAAAGAGTCAACATCTCCCTCCAAGTCCGGAATTGGTAGTTCGTTTCCAAGAGTAAGAGTAAGATTTTTTATCTCAGTTGATGGGACCTCATAATCTGGAGAACTGCGTTTCATTTCCAGCTTTGGCTCCTCAGCGATGGATTCACTCGTCCACTGCAGCATGGGTACCTGATCCTCACTTGAATGCAGTGCAGGCTTTCGTGCTTGTGTAGTAGCCACATCATGCATGTCAAAATCCACTTGATCTTCTCCAAAAAACATTTGTCTGAATTCTTCAACTTCCTTCACCAAGAAATGCTTTTCCCTCTCCCTCCTAACTAAGATCTCTTTGAGAATGTTCATTTCTTCAGCATCATAAGCAGATTTTTCCTCTATCATCCTTTGATATTGCCTTGCCTCCATTTCTATTGATGCCTTCTCCTCTTGCAGGCGCAATATCATGGCCATGGCCTCATCTGCAGCAGTTGCAGCAGCACTTCTCTCCTTCTCCAGTTCAAGATAGAGAGCAGCACGAGCAGCATGCTCTTCTTCAAGAGCCTGTTCCAGTACTCTAGCTGTAGTTGTCTCATTACTGTCAAAACCTTGCTTCTCTCCTGCTTTGCACCCAGAATCTTCAACAACTGATCCATCCTTCCCTGTCGGTTTAGTTTCATCAATAGATTCTTTAAACTCAGGACGTGAAACGCTATCCGGCGAACTAATATATGTAGGAGCTTCAGTGCAATCTAAAAGTACACAAGCATCCACAGAAAAAAAGAAGAAGCAATATTAGCATAATATGTCCAGAAATAAAGCAATGATATGAGTCTGCAAGATCTTACATATCATTTCAAAATAGTTTCCACAAATATGTGTAAAATTTGGCTTTAGGAAAACACCTCAAAACTCAAACACGAAAGGTAATATCTCATAGTAAATCTATAGTTTAGAACTAAGATCCAATTCAATATTTATGAATTTCCTACTATGAAGCAAATGTCACATACTGTTTCTTTTTTTGGAAAAAAAAAGTAAGAGATGTTGGTTTTAAAAAAATAAATGTAACAAATATCTCTTCAAATGTTTGAAAACATAACAAAAATGGTATAAAGTTCAATTCTACCACATTATTCCTGCCATGGGAATCAAGAAAAGCATGGAACGAAATATGTTTATACTGTTTTAGTAATAAAATAAAATTACTAACTGTTTTCCCCCTTTGTCATCTCTCTAAAAGGTACTACTTATGAAGTCTACACAGGCAATTCAGCATTAATTTACTGGCTCTAAACAATGCCTTAGAAGTACATTATGAGAAAGAAATTGGCACCAGAAAACCTAAAACAGCATTATGAAGACTCAATAGTCAGCTTTAGATTAAATGACTATCACCTCCTGAATTGACAAGAACTTCAGTAACATCATTCCCCATTTTACTAATGCTGGAAGGAGATGTAGAAATGTCCCCTGCATCTGAGTGGAACACGTCATATGATGAAACTGATACTGGCTTTCCATAATCAACAGAGCCCCCTCTGCGGCGGCGGCGAAGTCTCGGCCTTCGACCCGAAACCTTCTTTGGCTTAAGTTCAAAATGTTGTTCCTTCCCAGCTTCCAAGTTTGCTACACCAAACTCAACACTCTGTTCATTCTCGGCAACTGAATCACTCCCAACCATATCTAGCAACCTCCTTTCTGACAATGAGCTACATGACGCTTCACCTTCAAACTCAAAATGCCCATTCTCATAATATGTCTCATTTACGAACTTGGACTTAGAATTGATATTTGAGTCTTCAGACCATAGTACATCAAAAGGGAACTTGCTCTTCACTGCCCATTGAACTGCAGAGATTTTCTCACATGGGGCATCTGCGAATTGCCTTTGAAAGCAGTGACTTTTCCTGGGGGTCCCAAAAAACCCATCACAAGGGCATGGCAGACACAATCCAAACAAACTCACAAATTTGGAGGTAAAAAAGGCAACAGCTGCAGCACAAAGTAAAAGATAGGCTATTGCAAGATCCAGAAAAGCACCCACTAGCTCGTTAAACCTCCACGAATGTATCATTTGGCATGTCATTTTCCTGAAAAATCATTTATCACTGATGCAGCTAACCAAACCAAACAATTGAACCTCTGCTCGAACACCGAACACTAATTCAATAGAAAATCAAAATAAAATTTTCCATTTTGGTAGGTTTCCAATATCAATTAGCATACAATGAACAATAATGAACCAAAGAAATCAGAAGATATCAGAAGTTTGGATCTTGAATCGACCACCATTCAAATGACCCAATCAAACTCCAAATTTCGGTGCTTTACATTGTTATATGAAACCCAACACAGCATACCAAGAAAATTCAAACAATTCTTAATACCCTTAAAAAAGAGAGGAAAAAAAAAAATCAAACAAAAACAGACAATATAATATAATATAGACTACAGAGAGTGAGATACAAACAATAATATTAACCAAACATGAACACAATTGGAGTAACAACAAGCAACAGAAAGCTATGGAGAGTTATTTTGACTCACCGAATTTGACAATACCGAGTTGAGTGAACGATATTTGCTCTCTGAAAATTTCTTTTTCTTCCTTATTTTGGGGAATGAGAGAGAACGGTTTTATCTTTAATGAGTCTGTGTGCCGTTAAGGGATGAAGGTGAAGGCGTTGAGGAAATGGAAAGGCTTGGCCGCTTCGGGCAGTTCCCCAGGGCGATACGGCGCCGTCTTCTGCCACCGACTTCTCTCATCTTAATCCGGTCGAATCACACGTTATGATTTTGTCACTACTGTATATGTATAGGAGCTTCGGATTTACTCTGATGAACTGATTTCAATCACGTTATGATTTTGTTATGATCTCCTCCTGTAACAGTAAATTTCCTATGGTGCGCTTTTATTTTCCGCGAAAATAAAAATTATGGTATTTTGTATAAGTTTATTAAAAAAATATGGGCAAATGAGGAAAAACCCCAAAATACACCATCCACCCTAAAACAACCCAGTGTATATTTTTAAATAGAAAATTATATATAAACAACCCAGTGAGTGGTAGCTGGGCTTAGTCAGGGGGAGGGGTGGTGGATGGCTCTGGCTAAGGTGATGGTTGGGTGAGGGAGGTGGTGGTTGGATGTCGCAGTTGAGGTTGTGGCGACGGAAATGGGGTGGGTGACTGGAAAAAAACTTTCTTATAATGGGGATAACACAATTTTGCTATCTCAATGACACGTGGATCAAGCGTCATTGTTTTATTGGTCGGGAATAAAAAAAAGTGCTATACTCGTTGCATGAGAATTTCTCTTGAATGGGTCGGAGAAGGAGACATTTTGCTTTTTTAGTTTTTTTAAAAGATATTTTGTTATTTTGAACATAGGTACACAAAAGGACTAAAATACCCTTGTTACGTTATCAATTTTAAACAGACTTTTGGAAGAAGTTAATGATAGAGGACAGAGTAGAACAACAAACTTGAATTCAAAGGGATAAAAGGAGTTATTTGGAAAAGTAAAACATATCCTTCAAATAAGCTTATTTAGAATTAATAGGTTTTACATTATATGACTTGGTTTTAATTAGGAAACACTTCTTACACATAAACCTCACCCCACTCTGGAAACAAATTTCAAACAACACACTAAAACCAATACTTGTTTTCGCAAAAAAAAAAAACACAAACACACAACACGAACACTATTTGTAGCGCCAATAAGCCAATAAATGATCGAGTCCTTGTTACTCCAAGTAGGTCTGTTGTGGAACCTTCGTGAAGATTCCCTTTATGAGATCATAGTAGAGGGGCAGTTGGGCAAGCGCGAATATTGTAATCGGAATGCAAGTTGTTGCATATAATGGATATGCCACGTGTCTCAGTTGTCGATTAAGGAGAAACATATGCCCTGTGCAGAATGAGACTAACACGGAAGCTATAGATGCGAAGAGTGATGTTAAACCCAGCAAAAGTTTCCGAGGCAAGCTGCTGGAAAAATCATGTACTTCGTATCGAGACGTAATAATCGAAAGAAAGAAGACCAGGGCAGTTACTGACAAGCAAAGAGAAAGCAGCGATGAGATGGTGAAGGCATTGAATGCTGGTTTGTCTTCGAAAACCGGTTCACCGTATTTATCGAGTCCACCTGGTACAGTTGCTGATGTTGCAAATGCAACTGTTGCAATGAGAGCAGCAACGACAGAGCATGATTCAGAGGTTTTGATGAGCCAATTACTGCCATCTCTATGAAGATCTTTGTGTGAAGTTGTGAAGATCTCCTCTGAGGTCTTACCTTCTTTGTTGTAGCGAACAAAATGATGTCGCATGGAGTTTTTGACAATCTGCATGCATGCATCTTAGAGAGATCATGTTCAATGACCTTAGTTGTTTGAACCGAGTTTGACAAGATATTAATTAAAGATTAAGTATCAAAGCCTAGGTTACCTAGTGATGATAGATCGATCGATATATATATATATATAGTGATGAATATCAATAATAGTGTACATACATACCATATACCACTTGAGTTCCCACTGCATTTGCAGTGCCGCACCTGGAGTACGCCATGGCCGATAACTTCCACATTTAGCAGCAAGATGCAATGCATTGTTGCCTTTGTTGTCCACCTGACGTAACAAGCTTGCGATTGATTTCTTCTTCAGCAGTAACTTGAAAACATGGGATTGCCTGTTCTCAATTGCCAGGAGCGCAACATTCTTGTTTTCTGAGTCCACATCGTGAATAGCCACTGGAAATTTTATTAGGATTTTCTCCACCATTTCGCTCACTCCCATCTTTGCTGCAATTAATATTGGTGTCATCAGCTGCCTTTTCATTTTCTTATCTCCCACGTTTTCGTCCTTCTTCCTCTTTGTACCACTTGGATTTGTACTCGCGATCGTAAACCCACTTTCCTCCTCTAATTCGGTAGGTTTAGGAACTTGTCTAATTTCTGCTTCATCTATTGCTCGAGTTTCTTTGGGATTTTGTGCATACCTGTATGAAGAAGTACGATCAAGCAATTTATTCATGACCTGAGTAGCCCATTTATGTTTCCTTTTCTCTTCGTGGATTTTCTGTATGCTCGAAATTCCTAGAAACACAAATGACATTGTCAATTAAAAGCACTCTATAGCGTCCCAGGGGGTTCCAACAAACTGTATATGTCCAATTGATTTTTCTCTATTACATTAATTTTCTTTCAATTAGAACGATGCCTTTTATTTTATATGTGGGCAAGTTTATTGGGAGAAAGCATTGGTATAAATAGATATATATATATATAAACGAAAGTGTAAATGGATTCACCCAGAAGTCCTCGCAGAAAACGATAGATCTCTAGCAAAGCCTCCGTGATTAAGTAGAAAATTTTAACAAATGATGCATAAATATAATTGGGATGACTTTCTCTCCCCTGTTCCTCTCGTTGGTTTGTACCTGCAGTTGGAAAAAGAGGAAGGAAAACAATGCTAAAATAATGAGCATCCCAATGACATTTTATCAACGTATTGTATTAATAATATATATATATCTTAGAATTGAATTATTGACTCTTACAAGATGCACTTGGTGGCAGTTGGGGATAATTCGAAGGAAGCTATATATATGTTGTGAATTGGCTCTCAATTTGGATATAAAGTTTGGAAGCATGATTCAAGTCTGGTACATTACAGTACAGGGATCTGACTGTCATCAGTTTTTGGAGGACCGGCAACCCCTCATCAAGATTATGAGATTCAGTGGAGTGACCGGTTGGACTAGATAACCGGCAGGTCGATCGGTATTTGTGGCAGTGTGAGTGACCGATCAGTCTAGCTAATCGACTAGTCGGTTATCGGGTTTTAGGTTATTTCTCTACTCTAGGGTTAGTTCCCTTGCCTACTTTGGGGTCTAATTGTAACATAAGTCCTATTACCCAACTTACCTTGCATTGAGTTTGAGCTGCTATTTTGTTGGGGATTCTCTGCATCTCTGACATCTTCGGTTTTATTTTCTCTCGTAGCTAGACTAAGAGAACAACACATGTTATTTCCCCATGATTTAGCTGGAAATGGAGAAACTATTAGACTTGTGGTAAGTAAATATGTACGGTGATGAAAAAGCAACATATAAATTGGATAAGTGACTAGCACTCACTTAATGCTTGATGAGATTCAGAACCCGTATTGCTGATATTTCTTCCTCTTTTCTCGAGGGGACAAATAATAATTTCGTCCTCCTTTCCCCCTTTTAGCTCTTCAACAATCAAACCTGATAAATGAAATGTAAAAATTTCTTTGGACTGACAGTAAGTACAGTTGCAAGATATAACCTAGCTAGTACAAAAAAGTAAATTAATTTTACCAAGGTTCTTTAAATTTCTGGTAAAATCTTAAAGCACAATGGCCTTTTGAGCCCAGAAAGTGTAAAATAAAATCGATAGAGATATTCTTACATTGGTATATGAGACGATCCAACAGTGTAAGGCGGCTACTGCTTTTAAATGCTGATGGAGTATTGGCTAGAATATGCAGGGGTGATAAACTTCCCTGATTCAAAGAATTAGCAAGTTTTGGGTGCCGCTCAATTATGCGGAATGCCAAACCTACACATTTAAAAAAATAATAAATTAATAATGAATAATATATGAGATTAAGTTAAAAATTAATTATATATTTAAGCAGTACAGTGCACTGGGCATGGCCATTGGCCACACACTTACTGAAGTATTCACCGGACATAGCTGCATGGAGAATGGTATCACCATTCCTTGCTCTAAATGAATAGCAATCTGGTCCACAATGAGAATGAAGGCAAACAAAAGCCTCTTCCTTGCCATTAAGAGCTGCCAAGAAGAGAGGGGTCTCGTCCTGATCGTTGCGAAGCGACACGAGTGTTTTGGCTTTGATGGCCATTGCATGACACAATTTCACATCCCCAAGTGCAGCAGCTAAATGCAGAGGTGTGTTGCCTTTGTTATTTTTTATCTTCAATATGTTGAATGCATTGTCTCCAATGATCTCCAGCAAATCCAGCACAACTTTTGTTTCTTCATCCGAAACAGCAAAATGTAGAGCAGTGTCCCCCATTTTGGTGATACGCAAATCATAAGCATTCTCTGATGATCTATAGACCTCCACAACTTTTTCCCACTGGCCGTTCATGGCTTTATCGAACAGGTCATAGGCCAATGCATATAAAGTGGCATCTTCGGGGATAATGTCCACTTCCTCCTCTCTATCTACTACTTCCCCCTCTCTATCCACCACTTCCTCCTCTCTATCCACCAGTACTTCCTCCACTCTACTCTCCATCTCTGGCCTCTTGCACTAGCTACTCTAATGATTACGTGATATATATATATATAGCAAAGAAAGCGTTTGTGACGCCACTGTAGAGAATTGTTATATATACACATATACATTCATTTATAGTGTTTTTTATAATTAAGTTTTCTTTTAAAGATAAAACTTGATTAACCATTTAATCATCATACCGTACGTACATATGATTATTTTAGTGTTTTTATTCAAACCTCGGTGTTCATCTATTTATAATTCATTAGAGTTAAGTGACTAGTAATAGATTTACAATTTTACTTATTTTTTTGCAAGAATGATGTTTGAAAGGAGGTCCTAAAAATAGATATATAGTTCGGATCTACTTACGTTATGCTGATGGAGTAGAGGTTAATTACGTCCAATTAACTAACTTTGATTAATAACTAATTTCTATTTTTTTTATAGAAGCATCTGCTCCCAAAAAAAAGGAAAAAAAGAAAAGGAAAGGAAAATGGCAGAGAACTCAGGACAAAAGATAATCTTGGATTGTGCTCCTTTATCCTAGTTTTTTCCCAAAGGTGCTTACTTACTATTATATATTTTCTGAGAAGGAAGGCATTAATTGCTTTGTTCCTTCCAACTCCAAGCACGATAAAAACCTTGTATACCAAAAAACAAAAAGAGATAAAAATAAAAGCAATCAAAAGCGAAATCGTAAGGCGCATGCTTGTCCATATACAATCACAACTCATGAAATGTGACTCATGAAATAACAAGTTATCATTGTGTTCTCCTGTCAAGTCAAGTTGATCGTACTTGGTTGTCTAAAGTAACAGGAAACTTCAAAATGACGACGTTTAAAGTCCTAAGCTAGCTAGCCCAATTGTACCCAAAAAGCAGTCAAAAGCAAAATTGTGCAAGGCATGCTTTTGCTTGTGCTATGCTCTGCTCATGAAATATATGCTTACATATCAAGTTATCACTTTGTTCATCTCCTGTCACGTTCATCCTCCTACTTGTTGTCCAACAGAGGAAGACAAAGCTGGTACGTAAGTATAGTACCTTTTTTTTTTTTTTTTTTTAAATATATTCCTCCTCGTCATCACTTGTGTGCATTCTCCTACACTAGAGGCCTTGTAATTAGGGTTAGGCGTGGTCTGGTTTGATTCAGTTTTGACTTAATGGCATGTTTACTAATCCGGAATTGGAATTCTCATCAGGAATTGAATTCCACTTTTGAGAATTCTTGCGTTTACTTCACATAATGGAATTGAAAAGTAAGTGGAACCCACGCAAAATTAGGAATTGAATTCCTAATTTTGGAGGAATTCAATTCTGGAATTGGAGGTGGTATTCTAATTCCTGGAGAATTCACCCCTTAGGAATTCATCTTTTTTACTCATTATATCCTCACACAATTTTCAAAATTCCAAATATGCCATCTACTTTAACCAAAAAATGTGGACATTTTAGTAATTGGTACCACTCCTACCCCAATTCCATATGGTTTAGTAAACAACTTCAATAGGAATTCGGAATCTAACTCCCCTCAATCCATATGGTTTAGTAAACAACTTCATTAGGAATCCGGAATCTAATTCTCCTCAATCCAACTCCTCCTCAATTCAATTCATCCTCAATTCAATTCCCCCTAATTCAATTTCGGATTAGTAAACATGCCATAAAATTATTGGGAGAATCGAACCAATCTCGACCTGTCCGCTTCTTGCTGTTTTATTAAGTAAAACACGCTTAAGCCAATTTCATTTCACTTTCTTTTGTTTTCAGGCTTATCTTAAGCACATTAAAATTAATTTTTCCTAACAGAACTTTTCAGCATTCATTCTCTAATAGGCCGAAGCCCAAATTCATCCTCCAACAAACTTTTAACACTTAGACCAAAAAGAAAAAAATAAATGCAAACAGTGTTTGCATAAACTAAATCCATTTTAAAAAAATTTCTTAATGACTTGAATATTAAGAAAGATGCTTGATTTGACCCAATTACAAAACCCATTTGCCCAAAATCTCAATGTTGTTTAATCTCAATGTAAATTGTCCGCCATCTATAAAAGCAAAGCACTAATGGTTAGTCTAGTAAACAAGGATGTCATTCATACGTCTTTTTTGCTTCTACTTTTAATTACACCAAATATTGTTTGTAATTTACCTAATTGGATGGGTTCTCTTCTGCCGGAAAATTGAGATTTGTGATGTGATATGTAGGGGGTATCTTGGAGACTCGCATCCCACCTGTATGCACTCCAAATTGTCTCATGTAGTTAAATCTGTCAATTTTTCTTTCAAATTGATGGCTATTCTTTATCTACTTAGTAGACATTGCTAGGCAAAAAATAACATAAATATGACAATTTTGAGGGTGCGAAGTAAATTGGCATGTCTTAAAATATTAGAGCATCTAAACCACCTATTTAGACAAATTTTAGAGAGGAATTGGAAAAATACTACTCCAACCATGCTCCCTATCTACCTCCTAAAATAGAGAGACTTCTAGAAGCTCCTAAATATGAGGAGAGAGAAAAGACTCCTAGTGGCTTTCTATAATTTAATTATGCTTTGTTTTATGCATAGGTTAAACTTTTAGTTAATGCTAACTATTTTTTAATATAATTTAGTGGTTTCCTATAATTTAATGCTTTTTTGTGTGCGTAGAGTTGGGCGAACTTCTCACTACGTCATTCTTCAAAGAAGTAGAAAAACTCCCGTAAAGTTACACTACTACAAAAAAACTTTGCGCGACGAAATAATTTTGTTGCGCAAAGTACAATTTCGTCGCGCAAACTTTGCGCGACGAAATTTTGGTCGCGCAAAGTTGATTGTATTCGTCGCGCAAAGTTTGCGCGACGCAATTGTACTTTGCGCAACAAAATTATTTCGTCGCGCAAACTTTGCGCGACGAACGATAACAACTTTGCGCGACGAATACTAACGTCGCTCAAAGATACTTTGCGCGACGAATACAATCAACTTTGCGCGACGAAAGTTAATGTCGTGCAAATCTTTGCGCGACGAAATATTCAATTTTTAAATTTTTTTGTTTTTTTAACATTTTTAATTAAAATAAACTAGTTTAATAGTTTGCTCGACGAAATATTTTGTCACCCAAGGTTTTTGACATTTTTTTATTATTATTTCTCTTATATCAATTTCATTATATTAATTTTTCAAATTTTTACTTTTTAAATTTAATTTAATTGTATGATTTTATTTTTTTTTAATTACTTTAATTTAAATTGAAATATTCAAAATAAAATTACATATGAAAAATAGTGGTCAAATTATCCAATATATATAATATTCAAAATGTACACATAAATTAACAAAGTACAATAATAAAATCTACAAGCCTATTGTGGTGATAGTGGCGGAGGATATGTTTCGATAGCGTCCAAATCCTCAACTTTAGCCGTCAAAGTCTCGACGATTCCCTA